TGCCATCTCTATTTACTTCTTCTTCAATATCACCTTAAAAGCTAGCTCCTGCATGAACCAACCAGACAAGACCTCTCCCTACTTTGAACCTATGTCACCTTGTCTTACTCTCTAGTAGTGTTTACCATGTTCTTGGTTTATTTACTACTATGCCTATGAAAATCTTGGTTTGTTTGCTACTAAGTCTATGAAAATCTTGGTTTGTTTGCTACTAAGACCACTAGATGATAACTTTTAAAAGATATATACGTAAAAAAATTTTCTTTGTCTTGCCCCTTCACGAATGGTATAAAAGCTCTGTGTTAACTAACATTAAATTGTTATCTGTTCAAGAGACAAGTGTCCGTATATATGATCTTCGTCCGTCGCCTATCCGTCTCTCCTTCAGAACATCTCACGACCCTTGTGGGGCTGGCCCTCGCAGAAAGTAGGTCCTAGTGGGAGGTGTTTGGGCCATGAGGGCAGATCCCTCATGAATGACTTGGTGCTCTCTCCCATGGTAGGGAGTTCATCTGAGACCTGGTTGTTAAAAAGAACCTGGCACCTCCCACCCCTCTTTTGCGCCCTTTCTGGCCATGTGACATACCAGCTCCCCCTTCACCTCCTGCCACAACTGGAAGCTTCCTGAGGCCCTCACCAGAAGTAGATACTGATGTCATGCTTCTTTTACAGTCTGCAGAACTGTGAGCCAAATAAATCTGTTTTCTTTATAAATTACCCTGTCTTGGGTGTTCTTTTATAGTAATGCAAAATGGACTAATACAATGTATAAAATGTATGACTATCTGCAGTACTCTAAAACCAGATGTTGGAATAGTTTTTAAGGTAGTGGAGAATGTTAAAAACATCATAAATGAAAGGGTAAGATACATGTGACATAAAGAGAAGGCCATTTATCTCAATAGTAGGGCATTATTTTTCTTACTGATAAGATTATTCATGTTGAGTTTTCCCTTCTATATTTTTAAATATTCTATAAAACATGAGATAATTTTAAATGGTTGATAGCCATGTTTAAGTGGTCTATAAGAATAACTACAGAATGTGTCTAATTGAAAAATAAAGTCCTTTGAATACATTTTATATTATATATTATTATATATTATTTTTTAAAAGTATTATAAAACTGAGGGAAACCATCATATAGTGTCATGTGTATTTGTAAACTGACCCACCTAATGTTTCAGTCAGTCCGGTTCCCATGCCTACAAGCAGTTATACATCATGGTTCTCTTTGGAAAAGAAACACAAAGTAGTGGAAACAGGACTGCAGAGAAAAGGGAGAGTAGGAAAGTCTCCGAACTCCATAAAAAAAAAAGCCTATTTTGATAACATCCTCATGTTCTTTAAGACATATTATTAAATACTGCTCACAAAAAGCATTATAGGTGATCATATTTTAAGCTTTTGCTTCCTTACATTAAACAGTGAGGCACAAATAAGTCCTATTATCATAAGATGTCAGCTAAACTAAAGCTGTATTTCTGGTTTTATAAACATTTACACTTATGTTTATGATTTAGTAATCTCGAACCACATTTTTACTTTAAGTATAGAAAATCTAATTAATTTCCAGTGTAATACATTAAAAGATACCCATGCTAGATTTCCTCAAAATTCACACAAATAGTAAGCCTTTTGCAATACTATGAAGTAAGGAAATACAGAAATACTATGAAGTAAGGAAATTGGAATTGAGGAAATGTGTGGTCCTGTACATACACGTAAAGACAGTAAACGCGCATCAGCAGCAAGGCTGGCAGGGTTTGGCTGGTCAGTCCACTGGTTTTCCAGGTGATAATGAATTTGCATTGATTTAACTTCCCTATTTTGTCCAGGTCCTCTGAGGATGGCAGCATGCACCTGGAGTGGGCGTGGGCTGGGAGAACAGAGCAGAGAATGCAAAGCTGACGGGCTCACCTGGTGACCAACTGACTTCATGGCCATGAACTTGGTCTCATTTGTTTAGTTTTCTCACCAGCTGAGCTAACTCATCTTTAAGGAAGAATTATACAAACATTTGTAACATTCCAGGGTTTCTATTTTTCTTTTCAAAAGAAATATGGCTATTAAATCTCCAAAATATTTCCTATCATGTCACAGAATCAGGGGAACTTTATAGCAAAAAGATTGCTATGAAAAATCATTTCAAAAACAGTTTAGGATATTTAGAGGTCTAAAACAGTAATTTTTAACAAACTGGAAGTAAAATCTAGAGCAAAATGCCACATTTGCTCAGAGATAAAACAATAAAACATATAAATGGTTGATAACCAAAGCAATTGCTTTTTAAAAATCAGACATGGGGGTTTCAAAGGCCTCAAAGTAGGCAATTAGTAATGCTATCATTTGGAAAAAAAGAACACTTAGAAGGGAAATCTAGAATCCAGGAATTTTTGTCCTGGTTGTCATTCTATAACATAATAAGTCACAATTATCAGTGTCTTCATTTGTAGAATGGGAAACTGGGCTTGATGCTTCTAAGAACCCTTCAAATTTTGAAGTACTAAGAATTCTTATTCTTGTCAAAATTATATAAATCACATGAGACTTTTTTTATTTATAGATTTTTTTTTTTTAGTCCATGACAAAGATAGAGCTCCTAAAATGTTCTAAGATAAAACAAAATAAAACAAGTCTGTCTTTTTGAATCAAAAGTCTCTGTGTAAGAATGGGAAGATAACTGTACAAAACATTCTCAGAAAGCTGTTTTTCATAACCTGAGAGGAGGCAGGGATGCCTGGACAATGTAGAATATACCTTCTTATACTAATTATTTCTAGTGCAGCGTGGCAGTATTGCTGAAAGTTTTTTAAAACATTGCCAAGGTAATTTTCATATATTATCTAGAAATTTAACTTCCTTTACCTTTAAAAATCCTTGCACAAGTGAAACCTGAATTTCATCTAATATATGTCTGTCTTCACTTGATGGTACTGCTCTAAAAGCTGGATGAGTGGACTTGGGAGCATGAAGGAGCATGTGTAAAATTGTTTTTTACCTTGCAAATCCTCATGTCTCCTTTAGGGTAGTCTTGAAAGAAAAATGACATTGGAAAGCAGAAATGGTACGAAAGACTCGCAAACTAGAGCTGCAAAAACTAACGTCCTCAACAAAGCAAACCCCCATTAGAATATCAGGCCAAAGGGACATAGTAAAACAGAATTCATAAGGAAATAGTCTCAGATCACTTGAACCTTCCTCTTTATACAGCCACTTTAATTAAAAAGACAGAAACCAAAGATATGTTATTTCTAATTAAATATCAAGATGAGTACAATCCAAATTTGCTGCGAATCAAGATATTGTAAAAGGATTTATTGTGATTTGCTCATTTATTTCAACCCAGTCATCCCCCACCCCTACTCATTTTCCTTCAAGAAATTCTATCAAATGTGCTTCAAATTCTTATTTTGTAAGAAAAATTCATCAACTTCTGTACAAATCACCATTGAATCACACTTGAGGCAGCCAAACTGACATTACAAAAATTACAAAAATTAATGCTGAAATCTGAATGGTTACAATTAAAGGGAAGAGTCACCATTTAGGGTCAAATAGCAACAATATCCTAAAAGCTTTGCTATTTTTATATAGAAATTTATTAGACATTTTAATAGCTTTTTCAGTTAAGGGATATATCAAGTGCTTGAATTTTTAATTATTTTTTCTAACTTTCTTCAGATGAAACTTGTAAAGGATAAATGAAAGATGTTTTCTGCTGAAATAGTTTTTTTAGGTTTCTAGGATTAATAATGCATAATGGTTCTAAAGACGTCTTTAAAACAGTCATATTTTATTTGAAAATAAACTGATATTTTAATTTTTGTTCCTTTTCCCCCCTATATTTCCTGATATTTACTGGATTTATATAGCATCTGTCTTCCAAAATTTGACTGTCTTGTAGGCTTACAGATTTAGAGTATTAGGACAACACAACATCAGTTGTCAAACACTAACTCTACTTTTTCCTGAATAATTCTCTATTGTCATTTTTTGGAGAATAGTAAAAGTGATGTGACTACAAAAACAAACAAACAAACAAACAAACCACAAAGCAGTGGCCAACTGGTACATCCATACAAAGGAAGAAGCATGAGGATGAAAAAAAAAAGCAAGAAATTCCAACTTCAAAGAAGCCATCTACCTAACATTCTGAAATGTGGCTTCACTCTATCAGAGACTCATCAGTGCTTCAGGGAATTGATGAGAAAAGCTGCACTAATGAATCTACCACTTTCTTGAATCTTAGATAAGGCTGACGTTTAACTATCACTTTATCATGTGATGAAACAATTCTTCAGAATAAAGACTTTTTAAATTTTTCATGTTTTATATGCAGACTTACCAGCCAAAGTTCATCAGCATTTTACTCAGATATTGTGTTACTAATTACTAGGTATTCTCAGTATTTTTGACTAGTATCTCGTTGTCCTTAGGAAATAATGGCAGTCAGCCAGTTGATGAATTCCTGGTGAACACTTAAAATGCTTAATGGAATATTAAGTGCCAACTATAGCCTTTTCTCAGGTAATTATAGGATCTTAAACATAACCCACAAATAATGAATGCTATATTTCACAAAATGAGCCTTATGAAATTAAAGGAATTAAAGTTTCATATTCTGACTGTATAATCTGACCTAAAAAAGAAACAGATTTACATATTTTTAGCCCTATTTTAAAAACTCCTGAATTTAACTCAAAGAAGGAATCAGCAAAGATTTCTAGAATCTAAAGTACTATCTAATCCTATCTTATTTATAAAAATATGGAAATGTAGGTTTTATTTCAAACATAATGCACTGGAGAACACAACCAGTTTAAAGGGAAAGCAGGCCCCTTTAGAACTACTGATGCAAGTTAACTTACTACTTTAAGCTATGCAATGACAGCTACCTTTAAGTCATCAAGATAACAGCTTGGAGGCTGATTAAGGAAATTTACCTTTCAGCTTAAATGGCAGAAAGTAAACTGAAAATAAAACAACAAAGCCTTGTCTATTATTGATGGCATCAATTAATGATTGCTTTTATTTATATCTAAATGTGGCCCAGTCATCACAAAGGTGCATATGCTTACATAAAGCTTAACTACAATAGCCTCAAATTCCTAAATACTGAATTGAACATAAGAACCTGTGATTAGAGACACTTGGTTACAGATGTAGACATATATCTCTGGTTATTTCCTCAAGTTCACATTCAATCATGTCAACTTTTTAAACATATTAGCTGGTTCTCTAAGTATTCAACCCTTTATGTTGTACTGTAAATGGTTTTTTAAAATAAGTCTCCAAAAAAGCTTAGTTCCACTTTACTATTATGAACTTAGGAAGTATTTTCAAATTTATACTTTTAAATCTTTTATTACAGAATATTTTATACTTAAGACATTTCATCTTCATGTACTTATTTGTATGATTTTTGTTTCACAGTCTGCTCTAAAAATCCATAGAACAATTTCATATGGAGAGATTTAGTAAGTAAACCATATTGTTCTGTGCAAACAACAATTTCACTAATCTTTGAAAAAGCCCCAAACTATGAGCTACTTCATGAATTGCACTAACTTTGGGACCTTGAGAAGTCTGGTCTCATGAATATCCAAACTCTCCATTTAAATCCTAAAAGAATTTACCATTTCAAAACTATCTCCAAAATCTATTTATATTAGACATTGCGACAGTTTGACTCTCAGCTACATTATCTAATACCTTATCATCTGCACCAAGACCATTCAATAATCATTGCCCTTAATCTTTTCAAATAGCAAACTTGAACACACTGTAAATCTTTTAAGAATCTTTATTGACTTTTTTTTAACAATTCAATCTGTTGGATTTCGATGCAGTTTATTAAAAAACTTTAGTTTCATATAAACTGCAATCAAAAACGTAATTTATTTTGTCAAAGAAGTTATCTGAAGTTGCAAGTCATTTTTAATATGCAGAACAGTAAAACATAAGCATGCTCTTGGATGCAGGTGCTCCTGTGTACTATGGAGTTATTTTGAAGAGCTTGCTAAGGTCTGCAGGCAGTTTATGGGATGCAATTATTTTCTCCACAATTTAGGTACATGAGAATAAAACTGATATTGATGAATAACGTATTTTTCTCAAAAACGTTGAGGCAGCTTTTGTTGAATGCTGTGTACACTTGCTACACCTCGAACGGTACTAAGAGAGACAGGCAAAGAGTCCAAGTTCATGCTGAAACTTGAAAACTTCCCTCCACACCTGTCGAGGAGTTTCAAGGAAAGGAGGAGGGGAAACACGATACACAGTTGTTCATCGTCTTACACGAACAGAACACACCAAGCTACTTCACAAAACAAGGAAGCAAATCCCCTGCACTGCTTTCAGCCAGTCAGTGGTGTCTACAGTGGAGGGTGGGAGTGGAGGAAGCCTAGGACGGGGCAAAGCTTAAGTCTACACCTCATGCAGAGCTGTCCTTGTTCTGCCCGCTAGTGCTGCTCAGACATCCGAATTGGAACTGAGGTTTGTCAACCTGGGGTCCGCATTGATTTCGTATCTGTAATGATACCCTTCCATGTGATCCCTGCAGGCATCTCTGATGTTGTGCATCCACTTTTTTATCCCCTTGCGGTTCAAATACAAGACCAGGAGGAAAATCGCGCCTATCAGGGCTAACACAATCCCGAGGAAGACATAAGAAGTCTGCAGGGATGGAGGGGGGAGGGGGTCACAGTCCAGGCCGGCGCTGTGGAGCTGCAAGAGGGCGCGATTTCTCATTTGCTCCGGGAACGCGCAGAAGAGCCTGGCCTTGTCCTGCACCACCTCTGTCTCCTTGAGCCAGGCCACCATGTCCACCATGCGGCAGTCGCAGACCCAGGGGTTGCTGTCCAGGAAGACCCTGACGTGGGGCAGGCCCTGCAGCTCGGCCAGGGTGCCGTTGCCCAGGACCTTGAGCGCGTTGTCCTCCAGGTGGAGGCTTTCGAGGTGCGTCAGGTTGCGGAAGGACACGTGGGCCAGGCTCACCAGCGAGTTGTTCCTCAGGTCCAGGTGCCTGAGGCCGGGCAGCTG